AACTGGCAAAGAAGAATGCAACTTTTAGTAACTCAAAATTAACCTAAAAAAGCCAGGCATGGTGGCACACACCTATAATCTCAGCACTGGGAAGCTGAGGCAGAAGGATCGCCACAAGTTCAAGGCCAGCCAGAGCTACATAACAAGACCCTGTCTCAAGAAAAACAAAATAACAACAACAAAACTGGCCTAAAGTGTTTCTGCGTGACAGTCAATCCTTAACACACTTTGTTTGTTTGTGACACAGTCTTGGGTATGTTGCCTATGCTGGCCTGAAATCCCTATAAGCAAAAAAAGTCCTACCCAAGACACTTGCATAGACACAGTGGTGCATGCCTGTGATCCCAGCACTCTGGGAAGCTGAGGCAGTATTGACCCCAGCCTGGAGAATTTAGCAACTAAGCAAGACCTTGCCTCAAATCAAAAATTGGAATGTGAGGGTGATCTGGCTGCGACATCTGTCACCCACTGATTGCCAGGGTTTATTCAGCTGGCTAGGCTGGTCAGTGACCCTTCCTCCCTCACCCTCTATTTGCAACCCTCCCTGAAGCTGCAGGTTCAGGTCAAAGAGGACAGTCACTCCAATGGAGGAGGACCCTTTCTTCAGTCAAGAGTATACAAGTACCTGTGCTTCCTGGCAAAAACCTCCAAGCAAGCTCTCTCAAAATAGGAAAGAAAATAAATAAGTAAATAAAAGCCCACTGTTTACTCTCCTTCCCACCCCCTTCCAGGCTTCCCAGCTATGCCAGTGATCTAAGGGGGAATTTGATCTCACCTTTGTCCCCAGGTCTGGCAGCTCACATGGGTAGCAGTTATCTTCCCACATTGGCCCAGGGACATTTCTTTTCCCAAACAAACCAATCTCTCCTCACATCCCCCACTCTGTATTTTCACTGACTGCATGAGTAGATTCTGCCAAGTTCTACCTGTAGTTGGCTTTATTTTCAAATCAAATGTTTGGTTACTCTCTTGTTTAAAAAAAAAAAAAAAAAAGAAGTCATGCAACCAGGACAATACTCTTCCCAGAGCCCCTGACGGCCAGGACAGAGTTGAGACTACATCATTGAGACCCTGAGCCCTGGAGTTGTACTGTTCAAGGAGAATTCAAGAAATGGCCTCTTCATCACTTCTTGCCTTCTTATTCCTGACTCCAGCCCTAGTGGCCACTCTGAGACCCGGCAGTCAGTGTCCAGTTTGTGGGGGGCCTGCTGTGGACCTGGAGAGCCACCGGGAGCTGCTTCTTGATCTGGCCAAGAGAAACATCCTAGACAAGCTGCACCTCAGCCAGCGCCCAACACTGAGTCGGCCAGTGCCCCGAGCGGCCCTGAGGACGGCACTGCAGCGCCTCTGTGGGCCTCCTCAGTGGGCACTCCCGGAGGAGTACAGGAGCCAAGAATATGACATCATCAGCTTTGCTGAGACAGGTGGGTTCCTGGTCTGCAGCTCTGCCTCACAACCTGACCTTTCAACAAAAGGAAGTTTCCTCACCAACCTCAGCCCTGACTTCCTCCCCCAGCTATCCAACTTCTACCACACACACCCTGCAGGCCTATTCCCAGGCTCCCACCCACCAGGCTTTTGTCTGGTAGTCCAACCTGACCGGTGGGTGGCACAAAATTGGTAGATCTCTTTGGAGATGCCTGGCCCTATCTGCCCCTTCTGCTCTGTCTTCTCCCTCTCCTCTGGCCTCTCTCTGCCGCTCCACAAATCCTCTCAAGCTGTATAGGAGCCCATCCATTTCCTAGACCTGGACCGAGGCTAGTTGTCGAGGAGTCTGCTTCTCTGGCCCCAGAATCTAACCCTTTCATCCTGCCTTCCTCTACATGCCTCCTTGGATAAAAAGAAAAGTAAAACAGCAGGACTAGGAGGGCTCTTCATACCTCAAGTCCCCATATCAGCACTGGATCAAAATGAGACTCAAAAAGATGAATAAAGAATAGAAGAAGATAGAAGCAAACACAGAGGTCCATACAGAAGAAAACAGTTGAAGAATTTTTTTTTATTGCAGTTTGTTTGCATTCTTTAAAAACTTTATTGGTTCAGTTTAGATATACATAGTAATAACATTCACATAGAGAATTTGTGCCTGTACATATCCTGACCCCTTATTTCCCATTCTCCACCCCTCCCTTCAAGTCTTCTTCCCTTCCTTATTTACAAAAGCTTTGTTCCAATTTTTTCTTCTTTTGCTTGTCCCTTCTTTATTTCCACCCTCCCCCTCCGGTGATCGCCTTCTCATTTGAACATTTTCTTCCCATTTCCCAATATCTGTTGTACTCTTTCTCCCATAGTTACACTTTCAGTGTCTTACACCAAAGAAACAATGCTGTATTGAAACATGATGTCCGATTTACTTCACTTAAGAGTATGGTCTCAAGGTGCATCCATTTAGCTAGAAATACCTGTGGTACAGTAGTACTCCATTGCCTTTTTTTTTTTTTTTTAATCTTTATCCATTCATCAGTTGATGGACATTTTGGCTGTTTTCAAGATTTACCTATTACAAACTGTGCCACTATAAACATGGGTATGTATATATTCTTGTAGTGGGGCTGGGGAGATGACTCAGTAGAATAAGTGCTTGCCTGGCAAGCACAAGGACCCAAGTTCAACCCCCAGTTCTGAAAAAAAAAAAAAAAAGAGTGCCAGACTTGTAGTATAATGCTTTTAATTCTTTTGGGTGGATACCAAGAAGGGGAATTGCTGAGTCATATAAAATCTCTAGTTTCAGATTTTCAAAGAATCACCACACTGATTTGCACAGTGATTGCACCAGTTTACTGTCCCACCGACAGTAGAACAGGGTTCCTTTTTCCCCACAGTCCTGCCAGCATTTGTTATTGGTTGATTTCTAATAATAGCCATTCTTTCTGGGGTGAGATGGAATCTCAGTGTTTTTTAATTTGCATCTCTCAAATTTGAGAGAGTCTGATTTTTTTTTTTTTAAGTTCTATGTATTAGCTCTCAGGAACAGCTAGCAAAATGTTTTTAATCTTTGGCATATGGAAAGCCAGTTTTTACAGCATCATTTTTTTTCAACACATTTTTTAAAGGGTCAGTTTCTCTCCCAGTGAAGGTATTTGGTTCCTTTGTGACAGATAAAGTAGCTGAGTATGTTTGGAGTTGTTTCTACATCTTCTCATTTATTCCATTGAGCCTCAGATCTGGTTTTGTTTGTTTTTGTTTTTGTTTTTCCAGTACACTGCTGTTTTTATCACAGTACTTTTTTTTTTTTTTCCAGAACTGGGGATTGAACTCAGGCCCTTGTGCTTTCCAGGGAAGCACTTATACCACTGAGCCATCTCCACGGCTATCCTTTGTAGTATAATTTCAAGTCAGGGATTGTGATGCCCCCTGCCTTGCTTTTGTTGCCTGGAATTGCCTTTGCTATTCTAGGTCTCTTCTGGTTCAAAATGAATTTCAGGATTTTATTCTGTAATTCTGTGAGATATGCTTTTGAAACTTTGACCAGGTTTGCATTAAATCTGAACAATAATTTTGGAAGTGTGGTCATTTTCACTAGATTGATTCTTTCTACCCAGGAGCAAGGAATATCTTTCCATTTTCTGATATCTTCTTCAATCTTTTTTTGAGAGTACTGTAGTTTTCAATGTGGAGCTCTTTGTGTGTGTGTGTGTGTGTGTGTGTGTGTGTGTGTGTGTGTGTGTGTGTGTATAACCGGGGATTGAACTCAGGCCCTTGCGCTTGCCAGGGAAGCATTTATTCTACTGAGCCATCTCTGTGGCCCCATAGAGGTCTTTTAAATCCTTTCTTAGATTGATTCCAAGGTATATTATTATTTATTTATTTTTGGATGCTATTGTGAAAGGTGTTGTTTCCCTAGTTTCTCTCTCAGTGAATTTGTTGTTTGCAGGAATGCTATTGGTTGTTGAGTGTTGACTTTGTTTCCAGCTATGCTATTGAATTTGGCTAATAAATGTAGAAATCTTTGGTGGCTTTTTGAGGGTCTTTTATGTAGAGATTCATGTTATTTACAAATAATGATAATTTAACTTTCTTTCCTATCGTTATTCCTTTTACTTCTTTCTCTTGCCTAATTGCTCTGACTAATGTTTCCAGAACTATATTGAATAAGAGTGACATCCTCCCCTTATTCCTGATTTTATTTTATTATATGTGTGTGTGTATGTATGTATGTATGTATGTATGTATGTATTTGGTTCAGGGTCTCACTATGCAGCTTGCAGTTTGGACTTGTGATCCTCCTGTTTTCAGCCACCAAAGCACTGGGATTACAGGCATGTGCCACCATACCTAGACTTGGTGGCTGGCTCAGTGCACCCAAGGGCAGGGCCAGTACAGCATGCTGTACCATGGATCCAACCCCTGTCCCTGCACTTATCTAAGCAGGCGCTTAGTCTGCTGAGTTATCTCACCAGCCCCCTTGTTCCTAATTTTAGAATGAAAGCTTTCAATTTTTGTCCATTTGGTATGATGTTGACTGTTGGTTTAATAAAGAACATATATTCTAATTTTATGTAGGATGTTGAATGGGTGTTGGATTTCGCCAACATTTTTTCTGCTTCCACTGAGATGACATGTTTTTCTCCTTGGCTCTGTTAATATGATATATTGCATTTATTAATTATTGTATAACAAACCATCCCTACATCCCTGGGATGAATCTTACCTGGCCATTGTGTATAATCTGCATGATGATTTGCTGCATTCTGTTAGCTAGTATCTTACTAAAGATTTTTACATCTTTGTTCATTAGGAAGATTGGCCTGTAGTTCTCTTTTTGGTTGGGTCTTTCTATGCTTTGGGTACCAGGTAATACTTGCTTCCAAGAATAATGAATTTAAGGGGCTGGGGAGATGGCTCAATAGGATAACCACTTGACTGGCAAACGCAAGGATCAGAGTTCAATCCCTGGTTCTGCCAAAAAAAAAAAAAAAAAGAAAAAAAAGAAAAAGAAAAAAAGAATAATGAATTTAAGAGTACTTCTTTCAATTTCATTAAAGAGTTTGAGAAGTAGTGGCAGCAGGTCTTCTCTAACTTTCTTGTAGAATTCAGCAGTGAGTCTATTAGGGCCTGGAATTTTCCTTGTTGGTAAGTTTTTATTTACATCTTCATGTTCATTGACTAATATTTATTTATTTAAACTTCATTTATATTTTTGATTCAAGTTTGGTAATTTATATGTATCTAAGAATCTGTCCATTTCTTCTGTGTTTTCTATCTTATTAAGAGTATAGATTCTTGAATAATTAACAAGATTTCTACAGGATCCATTTCACTCTTCATTTTTCAATGCATGAATTGTAGTCTCTTCTTTCCTTTCTTTGGATAAACTTGGCTTAGTGCTTGTCAGTGTTATTTAATCTCTTGAAGAACCAACTCTTTGATTCATTAATTCTTTGCATTGTTTTCTTAGTCCCCACTGCATTAATTTCTGCTCTGATCTTTATTATTTCCTTCCCCACTTTGGCTTTGACCTTGACTCAGTCTTCTTTTTCTAGAAGCTTGAGGCTCAACATTAGGTAGGGATTTTTTTGTTTTTTGGATTTTTTTTTTTTTTTTTTTGCAGATCCAGGGATTGAACTCAGGCTCTTGCACTTGCCAGGCAAACGCTTATTTTACTGAGCTATCTCCCCAGCCAGCAAACATTAGGTTGTTTATTTGAACTCACTCTATTTTTCTAATATGGGAATTCACTGCTGGAAATTTCCCTTAGAGGACTGTTTTCATTGCATCCCATGAGTTCCAGCATGTTCTATTGCCATCATGGTTTAATTGTAGAAATTGTCTTAATATATTTTTTTCAATTTCTTCTGTGACCCATTGGTTGTTCAGGACAGTGTTATTTAATTTCCATGTTTTATGAAATTCTTATGCTTTCTCTGGTCTTATAATATGCATAAGATAATTTCAACTTCTTTGCATTAATTTAAGCATGTTCTGTGAGATAATATTTGATCAGTTTTGGAGACTATCCCATGAACAGTGGAGAAAAATGTGTATCCTGATTTTGTGAGTTAGAATACTCTAGAAAAGTACTAAGTCCATTTGTTCAAAAGTTTGGTTCATCTCCAATATTTCTTTGTTGATTTTTTTTTGTTAGTTGATCTTTTTATGACAGTGAGGTATTGAGATAAGCCATTACAGTTGTACTAGTGTTTATTTGATTTTTTCATGATAATTAATGTCTGTTTTATATAGTTGGGTGCACTGATATTGGGTGCATATATAGTTATAGTTGTTATCTATTCCTTTTGGATTGTTTCCTTTGAAAAGATGCTGTGACCTTTGTCTTTTTTAATCAGTGTCAGCTTGAAATCCACTTTGTCTGCAAAGGGAATAGCTACCCCTGCTCTTTTCTGGGTTCCTGTCACATGGAGTATTGTTTTTCATCCTTTGACTTTTAGGCTATGAATTTCTCTCTGAATTAAATATGGTTCTT